TTTCTCATCATCGTCCAGGGATAGGGTGACAATAATGTTGAGGTTTGTTCCCCCATCCACAGCAGCAAGTTCCCACCACCAAGCAAGAGGAGCTGCATTGTTTTCCATACTGCCAAAGGCTTACATGGTCTTGGTCTCCCTCTGGGTTGTCATCCCCTGACATGCCCCCAGGCATAGGGAGCCCACTGAGCAGAGGGACCAATTAATTAGATTTCAACCTTGGTGGGGATTTATAAATGAGAAAACAATAGTACAGAAAACAGTAATCAAGACAAGCATCTCTGGAAATGGAAGGGTCCTAAGGGTACTAATCCTGTTCTTAAATACAAAATTGTTGTTACTCATTAACCGTATGATCCAGCACTTAACCTTAGTGTCTGGAACATGTAAGATTGTAATAAATGTTTATTGCCTGACTGCCTGATCTAAAAGGCCTGTATTGAAGGATGCAGAAGCAGTTCCTTATAGTACCTGAGCTGTTCCCATATCAAGGAAACCCCAGACCAGAAATTTTGTTAGTCATGAGACTTGTGACACTTTATCCGTGCATGTGAGGAGGCTGTGAAAAATGATTTTTAATAATCATTATCTTGGAAATTTTGAGCTTCCTCCAGCCCCCTTCTTCCAAAGCCCTGACATTAAGTCTAGTTTTTCTTCAGAAGGACATTACTGATAACAAGATTTCATTGACTCTCCTTAACTTTGTCAGCCCCCAACCTAGTTCTCAAGTTATTTAATCTAAGGTAGGGAACTCACTGTATTCTGTTCAGGCTAGGATATCTACAGATTTTATCTACATAGCCCAAATCCTGGGGGTGGTCTGATAAAAGAGGTATTTCCTCTTTACAGAGGTAAGATGATGATGGTGTGACATCAGTCCCTGTTGAAAGGGTATATAAACTATGCCCTAGAACCCCAAAATCAGCCCAATTCTAGACTGGCTCCCATGCATGTGTGCTGCCAGCTTTGACAGAAATAAACAATATACTCAGACAACCTAATTATGTTTGTTTTTCTTGGAGCAAACTCTGTGTATGGTTGACAAGACACACCCTGTGATTTTTTACAGAGGAAACACATGCTAGAGTCATGGGATAAGCTCTGCTATGTTGTGCAATTTGGACATTCCTGGTAATGCAAATTTTCCCTGTCCTAAGGAGCCAAGCTCCTTCCCTGCTCTCCCCTTCTCTCCTTTCATACCCCAAGAGACCAGAGAATGTAAATCACAGGGGTAGAGGTCAAAATAGGTGACCAAGAGGGTCTTGAGAAAGGACAAACAAACCAGAGCTATCACTTTTACAGATTTTGTTCTCCAGCTCAACTCCCTAATTTGCTGCTTTGCTGTTCATCTTCCTTCTTGATCCAAGGTTTGCCTAAGGCATTTTCAAACTTGAGAGTCTCAGCACTCCTTTACACTTAAAAAAAAAAAAAGACTGAAGACCCCCAAGATAATTGTTTTTGTAGGTGATAGCTATCAATATCTGCTCATTCCTTTGGACTTCCCCATCACAGTCCCAGAAACCTCATGATCAGGAGCCTCATCACCCTGAAAGAGAGCATCAGCCTCTCTGATTAGAGAGCAAAGGTTTCCTCCCCAAACCTCCTTTTAAAGAGGGCACCCAGGCCAACCAACTCTAAATTTGCCCATGATGGACTTCCCCACCTAGCTGCTATACTTTCTCCTCTCCTTCCTTCCTCCCTTTCCAGCTTCCCTTTTTTTAAATGCCCCCCAATAGATTATAAACCCCTTGAGGGCAGGGACAATCTTTCTTTTTCCTGTTTGCATCCCCAGCTCTAAGAAAAGTGGTCATCATATAGTAGGTGCTTAATAAATGTTTATGGACTATTAGAAATTCATTGTTCAGTCATCACATTTATTAAGCTCCTACTTATATGCAAAGCATTGTGCTAAACCAGGCCTGAACAAGCGGCTACTTGCCATGGCCTGCCAAAGGATTTGGAATGGTCCAAGGAAAATGTAGAGGATGTAAAGAAAGTAAAGATGTAATGAGGGCTTTGTCCGTGCCTCGCTTTCCCACCTTCCATTAGTCACTATTGTGGCCTTCATTCAACTTGGCAGATGGGTTCTACTGCGCACTCTACTGTGGCAACCAACCATCATCCATCTGTGTCTAGTCTGAGAAGAGTGAGAGTTGTATCTCACTTTGTTGTGTTTTCAGTGCTGAATAGGCACAAAGTGAGTGCAGCCATATGCCAATGCAGATGATGCCCACTATGCAATGAGCATCCACAAGGCCAGGGCTTTTTCCCCTCCCTTGCTGCGAGACAGCCCTCCAAGTTACGTGACTACTGGCCTTCTCTCCAAGGTCAGACACTCAGTTCAGTATTTCTTTGTAGGTGAGCAGTTGCCGTGGAGATTTTTGGGTTCTAACATTAAAGTTTTTTTGGTGATTTTGTAGGATGGGTGACAAAAAGAAACGGAAGATCAAATTAGAATATAGAGTGTTTAATTTGGAGTGGACAAATAGATACTTGTCTACTTACATGAGAGACAAAATATTGTGCCTTGTTTGTCAAGAAGTAATAGGGGTTCCGAAGAAATACTCTCTTCATCGCCATTTGGAATCAAAATATCCTGGCTTAAGAAAATTGGACACCAATGAAAAACAAATTAAAGAGTCCAAAATGTTGAAAAACCTCAGTGGGAAACAACAGTTTTTCGAGAAAGTAAAGTCAGAAAATGAGACAGCTACCAAGGTCAGTTTTTAGATTTCTAAAGAAATCACTGCAGCTGGGAAGTCTTTTACTGATGATGACTCCATAAAGAAGTATTTGCTGATTGTAGTTTCTAGATCATGTCACAATAAAAAAAGAATTTTTGAGAAATAGTTTAATCATTGATCATACCTTTACTTGGAAAGTGAACCGATAAAAACCTATCTGCGTCCAGAAGAAGTTTAGTCTATTTTAATGTTGGCCCCTACAGACTGCTAAGTTGTACAGGTGTTATGCTAAGCCCTTATAGGACAAAAAAGAGGCAAAAGATAGTCCCTGCCCTCAAGGAGCTTGCAATCTAATAGAAGGAAAGGACTAGGAAAAAATATGTATATAGACAACTATATACTGGATAAATAGGAAAGAATTAAAACAGTGAAAGCACAGCCTTCTTAAGTGGGGTTTGCCAAGGCATCCAGAAGGTGGGATTTTAGTTGGAACTTGAAGTTTATAAATTTAAAAAAAAATTAATTCATAAAAATACTAACAATAACAAGCTGTGAGAAATGTTGAATTATTAGGTTCCCACATAAGTTGCAAAAAAGCAGGAAAGGTGCTGATTGGCTAACTAATTAAGGGGAGAGTAACATTCCTCAGGCCAGTTAAGACAGCAGGGTACCTCTCCTTATAGCCCAAGGCCCAAACCAGTCCAAGCTTGTTGGGGAGTCAATGTCCCAGAACAAGAATCTGCTACTACTCAGGCTTAGTGAACCTCATCCGTACTCTAAAGGATCAGGATTTTCCACCAATTGTAACTCAGATTGAGGTTTCTCTAATTAGAATATGGAATTGTGAACCTAACCAATTGTGAAACTTTTGATTGTAACTCGGACCAATCCGAGTCTTGGAGGGAGGGGTAAGCGGACCAGACTAACAGTATAAAGCTCGCTCTCTCTCGCTTTTGTGCTAGTGTGCATCCTTTTTGGGAAGGAGTGCACCTCATTCTGCCAAGAATTGAGTAAAGGAATTTCTTCTTTTTCTTTAAAAGAGCTTTGTTATTTCGGCTTTCTGCTGGCTTGCAACTGGGGAAGCAGTGGGCAATGGCAGCTTGTTCCCTGCTGACTCCCCAATCTTGCCGGTACTGTCTGCATTCAATCTATTACAATTTGTTTTGGTTGAAATTTATGAAGAAAACCTGGCTTCAAGAAGTTTCTGTAGTTGGACAAGGGAGGAGTATTTTAATGGGCAAATAACGTCTTAGTATCACGAAAAGAGCAACCCTGAGGACCCTCTGAAAAGAATTTAGAAAACCGCAGAAGTAGGCAGACCACACTTTGAGATTTCCTGACTTAAGGGCTTTTGGTGAACCCTTAAGAGCCCCATGGTGAACGTTTGAATGTGGAGTAATGAAATTGCAGACAATCCCTTGAATGTCAATTACGTAGTTTGTGTTCAGTGCCTAGGGGAGGGCGGGGCTCTCAGGGAAACCTAAACTGATGCTTCTTTCACTTTGCTGTGAAACTAGCAAGGAGAAACTACTGAGCAAGTAGGTAACGGACGCCTCCTCCCCAGAACCTGGGATTTTAGCCCCTTTCCCAGGATATAGTGCCTTTGCTAATGGTGTGCTTGGGTTTCCCTCCAGCCCTCCCACGCTCATCCCCAGCCCCCACCGAACCCTCCAAGCAAGTCCCGCTGTTCTAGTTCAGGCTCTAGGGCTCAGATGTGTCTCTGTCCCTTCAGGAAGACCGCAGCAGACTGGGTATGGGGCCGTATATTTCCTTCTCTTCCTGATGGCTCACTGCCATGTATGCCATGCCCTCGACACCCCCATCAGCTCTGGGACAGAAGGGGTGTAGCGTCATTCCTCCTGCTCAGAGTTTCTTGCAGCTCTTGAAGTCTGGCCTTCCCGGAGGCTCATCTGCAGGAGTCATTTAAATAGCATCTGGCCTGTCCAGGTCCTGCATGCGAGGTCCCCCAGAGTCTGGGATTACTCCTGTCGCCATGGGAGTCTCCCTTTAAGAATTGGCATCAGCACTACTGGGCACTGGCTGATTCAGACCAGGAAGGATTCCTTATGCTAAGTAGGGAGGGTGTGGCACTGAGAAGAAAGGAGAAAGTCTCTAAATCTGGACTTTGGTTTGAGGGCTTAGACTAGTCTGCTGTTTACTGTCTTTGAAAACCAGCTTTCTCCCCTCACCAGTCTATTACTTTCCTCTTTAGCTTGAGAGGAAGGGTTGTGCATTGGAAAGCACTCCGCACTTGGAATCAAGATTCAGAA